TTCTTTTTCATTTCTAACTTTTAACTTTGTAATTTTAAAATTTCAATAAAATATTATTACATAAATGCGGAGACACCACTGAACCGGGCCCTTCCATTTTACCTGCAGAATAAATATCCTTACTAGCAGGTTTCAAGGTACTTTTCTTGTGTGTGTGCCAGTTTCTGACTCCTGGTGACTGCCTGGACTTGTCCTTGCAGTTTCCTTGGCAAGGTTTTTCAGAAGTGGTTTGCCCTTGCCTGCTTCCTAGGGCTGAGAGAGAGCGACTGGCCCAAGGTCACCCAGCCAGCTTCATGCTTAAGGTGGGACTAGGACTCATGGCCTCCCAGTTTCTAGCCTGCTGCCTTAACCATTACTGCACGCCAAACTGACTCTTCAAGGTACAATACCAGTATTTGAAATAAGGCCTGGAAATGTACTAGCTAAGCATAAATGATTATGATATAGACTCCAAGTGCAACTGCCTAACCATAATCCCAAATCCATAACAATTCCCATTAGTTTCACCTCTCTTCAGTTTTAACTAGTTTTTTAACTAGTCATGGGTCAAAGCCCATACTCCTATTAATTTTGGGACTGTTCTTAAGGTGTTAACATTATTTGTAAACATATTTTGAAAATTGCATTTTGAAAAACGGAGACCTTAATCCATGTATCTGCAGCCCTCAGAGAAATAAATTGTGCAAAAGTAATATCCCTCCTATCTGTGTCTTACCATTGAAGAATTTCTCCAAGACCAGTGCTAGCTCTCACTGCCTGCCAACACGTCAGGTCATTTTTGCTATTCCTGTGACTGGAAAGGAAGGAGAAGTGACTGCAGTTAGAAATTTTGGATTAAAAAATCAGCTTGCTCTTCCCCCAGCAGTATGAGTTCCAAACAGAATCAGACCAAACTGTACTGTTACATCAAGGAGGAAGTCATTTTCATTGGATTTAAGAGTTGGTACCAATTTTGGAAAGCAGCAACAAGTCTGTGTATCTGAGAGAGACTGACTTGCCACAGACGAGCCCTGCATTTGAATCAGCAAAAATAAAGGCTTAGCGGACCACCAATGGTGCCTGACTCACCTGTTTTAAACAGCTGTACTAGACCACACTGCTTTATAAAGAATCTTTGTACAAGCTGGCTTAATCATGTTGAGTTCGTGATAACACAGTGATTAAAACATGTTCTTAGTTAAGCCCACCATTAATTACAGTCCGGACCTAAGCTGGTCCCTTCCTTTAAAAATATCCTTCTTTTGCTTCATTCTCAAATGGCGTAATGGTTCAAATTTAGATGTATTGCATCATCCATTGCCTTGGCCTATCAAAACAAAAACGCAATGTTTAATTTAAAACTTTGCAAATCTTCCCTTGCTCATTTTGAATGGCAGTTTGCAAAACACAGGTGCCAGACTATAAAAAAGACTAGGGCAGTTCCTTATCCATCGGGAGAACTTTGAGGCATTGCTGGTTCATGAGAGAAATATCAGGTAAATTCTATCTTGATGTTACTGAATATTTATATATCTTAATTTCACAGACAGATGCCGTTCTGTTTGCTTGATGTCTGAAGTGGACAACAAGTGGCCCTCCAGATGTATTTAGAATATAATTCCCATCATCCCTAGCTAACTTGTCCAGTAGTGAGGGATAATGGGAGTTATAGTCCATGGTCATCCAAAGGGCTACACGTCAGTCATGCCTGCTTTAAGGGAATAGCTTTTAGCAGTACTTTTAAAAGGAATTTTTGAAATAGAGCTCAGACTGATCTGTTTTTCAAGGTGGTAATTTTGTTCATTGGATTAAAAAGATTGTAATGTAGAAATGTTTCTGCCGTAATTACAGGAATGGCTTCTCTGGTCAGAGGTATCAGATTAGGGAATGCTATTCTAATCTATATTTAGAATTTAGAAATATTTATTCCAGAATAAAATAGATCAAGAAAAGAATTTGAGATTTTGTATTAAGATATGACCAAAACAATAAGCGCTCTTAGACAATATTTTAAATAAAGTAATAAGCATAGAAACATGATGAAATGTAATTCTCATGAGCTAATTCTGGAAACGTGTAATATTTTCTAACTCATACTTATTCAAGTACTAAAATAAGTATTCTTTGTTAAGCATGAAGGATTGTATATTTATTAAAATCATATTAAGACTTGCTTTCAGAGTGGAATTTAGTTTTTCATGAGGAATAATACTAAAGGTTTGGAAGTAAGATTAAATAAAGTTTGCAAGTAGGTGTGTGGTCCTTTACTTAATGAATTAATATCTCAAGTATAACTCAGCATTTTAATGACAAATGCATTCAAAGCAGGTGGAGTGGTCCAGGATCATGTAACATCATGGAGTGTGGCTTTGCGGAGGCCACTTCCCATTAGCAAAAGTGACCCCCCCCCAATCCATTTCGCACGCAGGACAAGAAGGAAAGCTGTTTTTCCTCTCTCCTAGCTCGAGAAAAGTGTTCAATGTGCTCAAGGAAAAAAGGGAATTGTTGGTGAAAGTGGGCAGGGGTTGGGAGCGGCCTTGCTCGATGGACTGGTCGTCCTCTGTACTTGAAATATAAGAACCTGATTGTGGACAGGTGTGTAAGAGAGAAGAAGATGGTGGGGGAGCAACTTTGTCCATGTCCCAAGTCACATTGGCTGGAGGGACCTGTTTTAAATTTTATGCATCCCATCAAATTATGCTCTGGTCCTGAGCAAGGAGTCTAGCAATTCTTCTGGATTAACTATGAGGAGTGGGTTCTGGAAGCCTTTACAAATGGAATTCTGAAGCCTGTTTTAATTGTTTAATAATTAGGCTTATAACATTTAACCCTTCACATTGTACTGTATTACTATATGACATAAAGAAATTATTCTGGATTTTTTGTGAGATGCTCAGGGAACCTTCAGCGTGGGACTCAGGAGCTGTACATAGTCAATGAGCAAGTAAATGCCTCTACCTTCATAAAAATGACCAATGCGGGGTGTGTGTACCATTTTTAGTTCAGTCTTTGATGTGACCTTGTGTTTATTTGCTTTAGTTTTACGGGATGCCAGGAGGCGACATGGCAAAACCACTGCTAGATCATCAGAACGCGGACAGTAATTCAAGCCTGGCCCCGGCTGCTGAGAGCAGGACAATTGGGATTCTGGGAAGTGGTGACTTTGCACGCTCCCTGTCTATGCGCCTGGTCTGCTCAGGTTTCAAAGTGGTGGTTGGAAGCCGGAACCCGAAGCGCAACGCGAGCCTCTTTCCTTCAGCAGTTGAAGTAACAGTCCAGGCAGACGCCATAAAGAAGGCAGATATCGTCTTTGTGGCAATTTTCAGAGAACACTACACCACACTCTATGACCTCAACAGTGAGCTTTCTGGCAAAATACTGGTGGATGTTAGCAACAATGCTGAAATAAATCATCACAAAGAATCAAATGCAGAGTATCTAGCCTCACTCTTCCCAGCCTGCACTGTGGTCAAAGGATTTAACGTCATTTCATCCTGGACCTTGCAGTCAGGTCCCAGAGATGGGAACAAGCAGGTATGGGCTTCTTTCTCCCGTACGTTGTGGACATACCAACACCTGTGAGATTCTGAGCTTCTCGCATCATATGACGTCTTAGTTTGTTTAACCAGTTTCTTGAGTAAGCTTCAGACCCAGACAAAGTGCATCAGAGTCTGGCATGTGTGAATTTAGCTTGAGAAAAAGGGGAAAGCATGACTCACTATCTGGGCAATCAGCATGCTTGTAATGAATGTCTGTGAATTATTTTACCACACAGATGGTTGCAGTCTTGCACATAGTTCAGCACCTCGAGACCTGGACGTCAAATTCTGGTTGGCCTTGTCATTGAGATAGTCACGATTGTAGAAAATTATGATTGGTTAATTAAAATTCATATATTCAAGTACTTCAGTACCTTTTTAAGATCCCTCACCAGAACCCCCCTGTTGTTCATAATGGTTCACTGGGGGGAAAAAGCTTATTCCAGCATTAGACTCAGTTATCGTGGGAAGAAAAAGCATCCAGGAGCAGGAAAAAAAATCACTGCTGTTCCTGCTGCTGCTGTTGCCATTAATTCATTCATTCGTTCTCATTTATATCCCATCTTTCTCCTCTAAGAGCTCAGAACAGCATATAAGTGGATTTCTTCTCACTTGACTCTCAGGTAGGTTGGAAAGAGAGTCAATGGCCCCAAATCACCCAGTGAGCTCCAGGGTTGAATAGGAATTTAAAACTGGGCCTCTCTGGTCTAAGTCTAAAACCTTAACTACTAGGCTACACTATGCTGCTAAGATTCCTTTGATTGCAGCATTGCCTTGGATTCCTGGTCACAATTTCCCAGTTGTTCCCTCCTCCTCTTGTTGCAGGTCTTCATTTGCTGTGACAACCAAGAAGCCAAGCAGGCTGTTGCTGAAATTGCTCACGCCCTGGGCTTCACCCCTGTGGACATGGGTGCCTTGTTCTCAGCTCGGGAAATAGAGAATATTCCCCTGAGGCTCCTCCCTGCCTGGAAGATTCCCGTCTTCTTGGCCCTGGGTCTCTTTCTCTGCTTCTACACCTACAACTTCATCCGGCAAGTCTTACATCCGTACATTCGAGAGAAGAAGAACAAATTTTACAAGATCCCTGTGGAGATCGTCAACACCACCTTGCCTTGCGTTGCTTATGTCATGCTGTCCCTAGTCTACCTGCCTGGAGTGCTCGCGGCCATCTTTCAGCTGTACCACTGCACAAAGTACCGGCGTTTTCCTGACTGGCTTGACCAGTGGCTGCAGCACCGGAAGCAGATAGGCCTGCTGAGCTTCTTCTGTGCAGCGCTGCATGCTGTCTACAGCCTTTGCCTACCCATGCGTCGGTCCCACCGGTATCTGTTACTCAATGAGGCGGTCAAGCAGGTACGGCACTCCCAGGTTGTTGGAAAACTGACTGCTTACTCCTCCTTGCATTGCATGGTCTTGGAAGTCCTGTGGTTAGTGACCTGGCTTCACTGCATCAGTCCAAATTGCCTCAGTCCAGCAGGAGGCAGCCTTGTGATGGCCGGTGGGCCGTAGTTCATATTTTGCAGCGATGGAAGCAGCAGTGAGTGGAGTGGTGATACAAAGTGGGGAGGGTCAGAATTTCATGGGAGCTGGTTCTTAGTTTTTGGAATGAGAGAGTTTGGAGATTGTTATTTTAGAAAACAACAAAAACATTGAGCTTCTATTAGGTTTAACCCTACAGTTTTTGAATGTTTTCTACCTCAGAAGGGCTTCCTATGGTTAGAGAAGCTGAAGGCCACATTCAGCCATGAGAGCTTGGATTGCCCACCACTCACTCACTCCATAGTTGTAATGTTTGTGTATTTAAAAGATACAAAATTGGGGTTCTTTCTGGCACTTTGTCTTGATTAAGCATGCTGTCTTATTTAGAACCAGCTGAGCTTTGCAATGTTAAGAGGTTTTAGTCCCTTTTCTCTCTCATTTTCAGTTTAGCAAAAATTCTGTGGCCATTCTTAGTTTCTATTCTATGTTCCACAGAACTGTCCACTATATTCTAGCTAGCTAAGGTTTCCAAACATATCCCAAAGGTAGGCATGATTAAGGCCTGATGATTAAGAACTAGAAGAATTAGCTCCTGAACCCAGCCAGCGTGTGAGCTGGTAGGAGGAAAGCTGGATCAGAAGGCATTGCCAAAGGTGAACTTGATTCCTGACTTTCCTGTGCCCTTCCGAGGGTTGGAAAAGTGGTTTCTTTCTACACAGAAGTCAAGAGGCTGTGCCCAACTACAAAATCCAAGGTGTGAATAAATTATTTCTATGGAACACTTTGACAGAAGGATGTCATTCCAGTTTTTAAATTGGCATTGGTTGTTTCATAGATTTATTGCTTCATCAATCAGCCCAGGCCAGCACATACAGATTCTAAACTTGATGAAGTTCCATTGAAGCCAGTGGACCTCAGTTCTGCTTAAGTAAGTGAATATGAGATGCAGTGTAGAAGCAAGCTTTTTCATGCCATTCTAGCTTGCCTGCATTATCTTTTGCCCAACTGCCTTTCTTTATTTGCTGCTAGGAACACAATACCCCCACCCCAGCTCTTAATTCCACTCATGTTTCTTTTTGGTGATTATTGTAAATAAATCTCAGGCAAGCTTTCCTGGCCGGTTTGTTTCTTTTCTTGTGCTTGTTTTTTTTCCCCCCGAGCTTCATGAGTCACATTGATTTAACAGAATAAATGGAAGGAGCTAATTTGTAATATAGTACAAATCCCATTTCTGTTCTTTTTTTTTTTCCATTAGCTGAAGACTTCTCTCCTAAATGCATTTAAACCAAATCCCATTAAGCCCCTGAGCAGTCCAGCATTCAGAGAGCTATGCTTGTGGTCTTTGCTTGAAATTGGAGCTGCTTTGCCATGTTAATTGTATCCTTCAGTGGCAAAGTGTGGTTTGATCTTCCAGGCGCCAAGTTCCTGGCACATTCCTCCAGAGGTTGGTGAGAGATATGGGTGTTCTGTTTTCTTCCGGCCATACTTCAGCAATATTGGGAAATCATAGTTCAGTGGCTCGTATACATGTGACTGGGTTTAGAATAATAGTTTTGTTGCCAATCCAGCTGTGAGTCTCATCCAGGACCTACATGTGGCTGTAAGTGGGATTGACTCATTTTAGTGGTACCAGATGGGACATGAATGAGAAGGTAAGTGGAAGACACAATCCTGCAGCAGACTAACTCACATGTGTGCTTTAAGCCACATGTGGCCACCAGGAAAAGAAATAGACTAAATCTTGCTGGTGGAAACAGTTCTGCCCAGCCCTAAGCCACATGCACAGTTACAAAGCTTGACTGAGCCCTGAAGCTTTTCCTTTGCACACTCTTTTTTATACCATGGTGTACAAATGCTGGTTGGATTGATACATGTACTTCTCTAGGACAGTCATTTCTAAACAGACTGTGATCCAGAAATGGTGTTCCATTCAGCCTACGGGAAGCAAAACCCTAAGTAAAAAATGTCAATAACTGATTTAAAGGAAGGTTTGGAAAGACAATACTAAAAATCCAACATATGCACATACGGTGTACTACATTGAAAAGACAGGTGAACGCTCATTTTATCCAGTATAAGGAGTAGGTAGGAGGGAAGCTGTAGCTGATTGCCAGTGGTGCAACTGAAACATCTGCTCCTCAGTTGTGGGAGTCAACCAGGTGCCAGCTTAAACTATTTAAACTTCACTATCTTTAACAAATGATTATAAAACAGCCCCACACTATAAAAGCAATGTGAAGCTGCCTAGGGCAGCGGTATGGGCTGGCCAGAACTGGCTGTCAGAAACCTTGGGAGTATTCCTGGCTAGGAGAAGTTGCAGCTCCTATTTCTGCAAGACAAATGGAGGCTAGGAATCAGTATCTGACCGGTAGAAAGGTTGGCTGGAGAGCAGGCTTCCTTTGTCCAAAGTTTCCAGATATCCTGCAGCTGGCAAACATTATATGGAAATTAATCCCACCCTTGGGCATTATTCAGTTCACCACCCTGCTTCCTCTTTCTTGGTTTATTCAACATGCCTTTACCATTGTTCTTCCAGGTGGAGAAGAAAACAGATGCCTGGGTGGAGGAGGAAGTCTGGAGGATGGAGATTTACATCTCTTTTGGCATCATGGCTCTGGGCTTGCTCTCCTTACTTGCCATAACCTCACTTCCATCCATCTCTAACTCTCTCAACTGGAGGGAATTTAGCTTTGTTCAAGTAAGTGCTACAGTTCAAGGTCTTTCTCCAGAAAGAAGTAATTCTCAGAGCTAGACTAGCGGTTAAGGAACAGTTGTTCGTAGGTCTGTTCAGTATACAGTACTGTGCAAATGTTTTAGGCAGGTGTGAAAAAATGGTGTAAAGTAAGAATGCTTTCAAAAATATACAGTATATTGTCATTGTTTATGTTTATCGATTTACAAAATGCAAAGTGAGCGAACCGAAGAA